TTGTTGTGCAAAGCTTTTTATTCCCTTCAAGAATATTTTTACAAGAATTAGCTTAATAATAGAACAAAGATACTTAGGTAATTTATTTTAGCTATTGCATGTAATTTATAGTTTAGCTTTTGTTGCCTTATTATACTTATCCACTGTTTTATCATATTTAAAGGACTTATTATGTTATTTTTCTATGGTTTTTTATATTATTAGTCATTTGATGTGATGTTTAATCTCATATATTTTTTTAAAAACTGACTTGTCCAATTGTACATAATGTAACAGTTATGGATGTTAAATAAATCAATAGAAAAAAAAAAACATAGTGGATTGGTCTGTTTCTCTCCCTCGCCTCTTTCAACCCTCCTTCCTCACCCCCAAGCCTCAAGATTGGAGTCTCATACAGCAACTACATCACCAGTAAACAATCTTATCAATTAAAAGCATCATTAAATGAAACATGGCGAAGAATTAACTACAACACAAGTCCTGTGTTATTCATCAGCAGGGCCAAGATTTTGATGACATGTCATCTTTTTTTCCTTGTATCCTACGTGATGCTCTTAAATATATAAATCTTGGATATGAGCTTCTGGTTACAGAAATGTAAATTTTATACGTAATTTTTGTCATTTTTTCATTTTGGGGGTAATTTTTTGGACTTTTAAGGGCATTTCTTCTCATTTTTGGCCATTTTAGGGAATTTTTCTGGATTTTTAGGTCATTTTTTTAATATTTTCAGGTCATCAAAATCCAGGCCCTGCATATTACATTTTTGGGTCATATTTTAAATATTTTAAGGTCATCAAAATCTGGGCCCTGCCCATCAGTGCTGACAACTGACATAGCAATGTTGTCCTTCTGCACCAATCACTAGTAATACACCTCCAGGCTTTATTAGAATGTCCCTTACCTTCATGCTCTCACATCAAGAATGGTGTAAACCGACCCTTTTGACAAGACACAAGGCAAAGGGAGGAAATGTAATATTTGTGAGCAGAACTATACATTATAACACCCCTAGCACAGTGTTTTCATGACTAATGATGGGAAAACCATCCTCTAGGGAAATTGGAAACTGGTGAGGGCTTGAAGCTTGGGGACCAAGGGAGAAAGAGATGAAAAATTCATTGATCAGTCCGCACCCTAAGGCACAACCAAAGGTGGGGGTGGGGAGGATAAGAGCATGGTAGAGTGTAAATATTTGGGATATGGGTTCATTACTAATTCATCTGTCATAGTACATTGGGTCCTGAGGTTGTCCAGCTTAGCTTCAAGCTTAGTAATGAATTTCTTAAAGCATACAGAAAGTCTATTGTACTACAGAGCTACACATAAGTGAAGGGGACCCTGTCATTTTTTATTCAAAGATGTAATGTTGACTTTATAGGCTTACTACCCATCTTGGATCCAGACAACGAACAGAGATCACTGAACCCAAAGTGCTAATGGGTTGGGATTCACATTTTAAATTTATAAAATAAATACAAAGGAGAAAAATGCATACACGGTTTCGGTAGAGAAAAAAATCCCGAAAGAAAGAAACCGCTATGAAAACCTGGACACAGATGTGATGATAATATTAAAATGTACATAATATATGATGTGAGGATCTAGACTGGATTCATCTGGCTCAGGATAAGGACCAATGATGGGCTCCTGTGAACGTGGTAATGAATCTTCAGGTTCGATAAAGTGACTCAAATTTCCAAGTGGCTGGGCAACTGTTGGTATTAAAGTTTCGGAGAAAGGTGTTGTCTCCATCTTCAGGGTATGAGTAGCATTGAAATCTATGAGGTCTATTAAATTTCAATCTGGGAATGACAGTTAGTTGCTTAGTCTGGATATTATGAATACTCATTAGAAAAAGAACTTTGATAAATTTTATAAATTCTTGTTATGTTAAGGTTACATCACACTTGATATTTAAATGTTATGATAGAGAAGATAATCATCCACCTTGAATTAAAGAAGCAGATTCTTGTTATCAACATTTATAAATACTGAAAGTTTAGTGAACACAATTTTGGCAATGAATACTGTGTTTCACACGGTTAACTTTAGCCTCCAAACCATGAATTCTCCAACATTTCTCACCACAAATGAATATTAACTTACTGGGGAATACAGTGTCTTTTGACTTTTTAGCTCGTTTCTTCCATAGCTCTTTTCTGTCCTGGATGAGGCCCATTTCCAGAAGTTTCTCAACGATTCGATGTTTGGGTCGATGAACTCTCAGGCGATCAATAATGCAACGTAATGGATCTGTTAATATTAAGATATAAACATATACCATTAATGTAACAGTAAAGAAGAAATATATGGTATTTGTAGAATGGTATAAAACTAATCAATAGTTAGTTAGTTATTGGAGAGGGTGGGTTTCCCCATGCACTTAGACCTGTCTTGGTCCATTGTGCTTCCCTCTATGATATTCTACCAGTCTCTATATCCTACCGGTATTGGTGCTTACCATCAGTCCCGCCCAGCCCGCGAGACCGGCTCTACTAGCTGAGTGGTATCTATAATGCTTCCCCCATCTACCAGAGGTATTAGTGACTGCTGTTGGGCGGGAAACATCCGTAATTTTGCTCAGTGGCCTCCTTTGGAGACATGAGGTTCTTTTACGTGCCATAAAGCTACGACACGGGACCCACGGCTTAAAGTCCCTCCCGGAGGACTTGTTCCCTGAATTTTTCCGCCCTTAAAAATTCGACGACCTCCGCCGGGTATTTGAACCCACGTTCTACGAGTCATGAGGTGGGAACGTTACCTCTAGACTATGGAGGCCGCTTAAACTAATAAATACGTTTTAATGTTTGCGCGCAGTGTGAAAAACTAAGTCAGGATAGTTCAGACAGTATAGCAACAGGCCCAGGTTCGACTCCCAGGAATGGAAGATTTTTCTCTTCTCCTCAGTTTCCAGAATGACTCTGGGGTCCATCCAGCCTCCTATCCAATGGGTACTGTGGACTCATTCCCTGGGTGGGTAAAGCAGCATGAAGCTGACAACTCACCTCTATCTAATGTCAAAGTGCCCCCATGTCTTCATGGCATAGTGCGTAAATAATTAAGCACAGCTACAATTTTACCTTTTACATTATGAAAAACTAAATTCACTACTTACGTAACAATTGCTATAACAATATAAGAATTTTAATATGATACGTGGATCTTCTATTTCATTCGAACCAAGCAGCACTATATGAAGAGTGTTACTTCTAGACCAACCCACTTCATGAGAGGGAGTGTTTATATTGATAGGTTAGAATAAAATAAAGAAATCTTTGTCATAAGATGACCCCACATTACAGAAGTCATTAGATAGAATTCACCCAACTATTTAAGGACTGATGACAGAAATGTTCATACCATTAGCAATCTTGAACTCTTCATATAGTTCTCTGAGTTGTTGCTCTTCATCTTCTGCCCATTCCTTGGGTGGCCGCACATTTCCAGACTTGTGACTCCTCTGTAATTGAAGAAGAAACAATAAACAGAATTTCTGCCAAGAACAAGAGTCCAATACAGAGACCGACCAGGGCAGCTGAACTGACCTTAGTTCCAACATTGTAACCTAACTCACGCAATTTCTTGCTCAAGCTTCGATGAGATCGTGAAGTATTTATTAGATTTTGGAGTATCCAGTCCACTACATCTGAAACGAAAACAAAAAATATATAAGTAGATTCTAATTATGCTAACATCACATGTCATATGAACAGTTAAACACTTCACGTCAGTAGGATTTGAGGTTATCACACCAGTGCTAATGAATATTTCAATCTTCTGGAACATAATCCCACGTATTCTCTTTATAGACAACTAATGTTTCGGAGGAACATGTTGCCGCACATAACTTCAAGTGTGAAGATTAAGTGTAGCAGGAAACCAGCACAAAGCTGTGCTTCATATCTGCTTCCGGCTAATTTCTTACTTGGCTTACTCTTCAAACATGAAGGGGGGGGGGATATGTTCCTCAGAAACATCATCATGTTCCATCCTGAACATGGAAACAGTAGGTTCCCTCAAAACATTTCAGAAGACAGCACTTTTGATATGTTAGTTCAGTTTAAAGTTCAGTGTTTTTTATGTAACTAAAGCAGCTGAGGTGACTCTAAACCCATTTAAAAAGTTGTCCCTGTGCTGAATGATTTCAGCACTGTGCCATGAAGGCGTATGGGAGAGTGGATGTATAGATCCACATTTTCTTGACCTTGGCACTAGCTGGAGGTGAGTGGTCAACTTCACACCACAGCGAAAAGAGCCTCCAGTACCCACTGGATAGGAGGTTGGGTGGACCCCAGGGCCGGTCTAGAAGATTTGGAGAAAATTCTTGACCCTAACAGGACTCAAACTCCGACCCCTCAGTCATCCAGCCCATAGCCAGTCGCTATACCGACTACGCTCCTCTAAACCCATCTGCCATATGTAATTTCTTGATGAGCAGCTATGTACAATCACAGTTTAATTCTTACATTTGTGCCTTTTCAGAATACTTTTTAATGAGCAAACAGTCATGCACGACTGTACAGCAGTTGAGTCAGCTCCAACATCTGATCTGTAGACAACTACAGGCTAGATAACCGGAGTAGATGAATCAGTTAATCATATGTAATCACCTTGTCCACTACCACCACCTTCAAGTTCTGCCTTCTTTGTGAATTCCTGATACAAACGATGGAGTTCCTCTTCTTCCTCCTCACTCCACACTTGTTTTGACGAACGTGTCCTGTAACAATATAGCTCATCATCAGACTGTCTCACAATACTAAAATTACGGAAGAGATGATCAATTATTCTATCACTTAATAATACATTCTCCATTGCTAGGGTTAGTCTGTGGACAGTGCCCACATTCAAGCAGATGTTACAGTGAGTCTGGTCATGGGCCTCAAGGGGCCTGACGCCAAGACAAACTGATTGGCAGTAAACTACCAGTCGTAAAGTAACTCTCTCTCTCTCTCTCTCTATTGAGGAGAAACCTGTGTGGAGGGGGGATCGAATAGTTCCATCATAGCCCTATGAGTTGTAGGAGGCGAAAAAAAGAGAAGTCTCAATTCTGAGACAGTAAAATATAGTCGTGAGTCCCAAGGGACTCGGACCCAAGAAAGACTGCGCTGGCAAGGACCAGCAGCATGTACAAATGACAGACCTGTCCTCTCGTCAGAGAGGGCGCCCCATAAAAAACAAGACCGTAACTGTCAAACAGTAATAAATATCTGGTCATGAGCCCCAGATGGGGTCTGACGCCAAGAATTACTGACTGACTGACCGTCAGTTACAATGTGTCTTTGAATATGACCACTGAGGAGAGGTATAGTGTGGGTGTTGTTGGTACATATTATTAGTCTTGAATTCTTCAAACCAAAGTTCGCCTGTGTATACTGTGCAATGATAAGAAATATTATAGAACGGTTCAACAAGTGGTTGTCTCTTCATACATCGACATCCCACAAGTGAAAAATGAAAGAATGATTAACTAACGACTGAACAAGCCAACTAACAAACAAACAAAAAACAAACTCCATAGAACCGAGTCCTTCAGAAGTCCACAATCATTTTGCCACTCAAGAAACTCCAATCATTCTATGGAACCTGTAAGTTCATTCCCAGGTTCACAAGAACCCACCACTGATCTCTAACCTATGCTGGATGAATCCAGTCCATAACCCCCATCCTACTGCTCTAGGATCAATTTTAATATTATCCTTTATTTAAATTTAGGTCTTTGTAGTGGCATTTTTTCCTTCTGGTCTTCCCACCAAAATCCCTATATGCATTTCTTTTTTCTCATATGCATATGACGTGCCCTGCCAATCTCATCCACCTTGACTTGATCATTACAATTATATCTGGCAAGGAGTACAAGTTATGAACTTCTTCATTATTCAGTTTCCTCCAACTTCGTATTATTTTATTCCTCTTTGGTCCAAATGTTCTTTGATTAATGTTTGAGGTCAATTTTCACACCGATACAAAACCAAAGGCAAAATTATACCTTTCATATTTTTATACAGACAGCAAGAAGATGAAAGGTTCTGAACTGAATAATAGCAAGCAATGCCCAGATTTAACCCGTTCTCTGAATCAAATTTTGATTTGCTGACAGAATGATTATGAACAACAAATTGGAAAAGATGTAGACATGATTATGGTATATTTTAAGGTATTGTTCCAGCATCTGCGTCCCAAGAACTGGGGTGGGGGTTAACCTCAATGAGAATGACTGATATGTCAGCTCAGATTTTAACCAAAGCTCTTCTTAATATGATGCAGGAGCACTAGCAAGTCGATTATGACGTTCAATGAAGGAATGGGTGATGTCACAAAAAACCTGTACTCACATCGTTCATAAATGTTAACACACCTTGCGTGAGTCTTATGTGGAACTGACTATAACTCATAAGATACTTACTTCTCCTGATAACTTCCATAGCCCTGTTCAATATCGTACGCATCTCGAGATGTCTTCCAAAACAACAGCTCCATATACACCTTGCTGTTGGTACTGGCTACTTCTGTGAATTTCCGCACAATGAAAAGCGCAAATGTGGCCAGCTCCTGCAAAAAATAATACAGCATCAAAATATCTAGTCCACAAACTGAGTCCTGAAACAAGACCGTAACCTGGTATTTCACACACACACGCACGCACACACACACACAAACCCTTTTTTTAAACTTTGTTAAAGGTGAGGGAAAAGGACCATCACTTCCCTNTTTGTAGATTGTTAAATAAACCAATTAACCATCTCTACGGCGTCTTCAGTAACCAACGAAACACGTTACACTGGTGTCAGAAGTGGGATCAGTAACGCAAACACGTTACAATATGTTTCACACTTACCTTATGCTTCCCTTGTTTGGAGTCAAGAATTNTAAATTGTCCTCTGACATAAAGTTATAAAGGCAAGGGCCAACATATGTTTCACACTTACCTTATGCTTCCCTTGTTTGGAGTCAAGGATGCGCTGGAATGTACGAAACAGAGATGCCTGGAATAGGATGGCAGGTGCTTTGCAATCCCATGCTATCCTGTGCAACATCTTGGTGATGCAATGGTTGGTGTGGGCCAAGTTCCTCTCAAATTGCTTCAAGAGAAGACTGCAGGCTTGCACCACTCGATAGTGCACAAACCTGGATATAAAATAAAGTTACATCATACTGTTAAAAAAAAGTGCATAATGACTGTGTCTGGTCTCTTACTACCGTATGCTTGGCCTACTGGTCAGAGGTCAACTGATTATAGGTAAGCTTTGAGGCTTTCACAGCGAATAAATGTACTAAAATCTTCTCAGACCATCAGCTGTGTTAATGTTGACTTAAAATGCAACGTTTCAGACATCTCTGAAATATAGGATCTCCTGAGAATACAGGAAATATGAATATTGTAGCAGGAAATACCGTTTCTGAAGGATGATGTTACTCTGTACCAAATGCATACTTACAATAAGTGCACAATACTAACCGCCTAAATGTCTCTGAGGGTACATCATACTTTGGGTAGGAAATATTATGGAAGTAAAGCCCTGTGTGTTCAGTGATCTCTCCCACATGGATATGTTACTTATGTTGAATCTAGTAACTTCTTAATGATGATGTATCTATGTCACTATTTGATGAACGCACTCTCAAAATATGTTAAACATAGTACATAAATACAACTTTACCATGGAAATTTAGGGCAGTGTTACCAACACTGTAACAGAGCAAAAGATCCAAGCAAACTTACCTTCTAGAAAAATCTATGAATTTGAAATCTTGTTCTCCGACAGATATATTCACAGCCTGCTGTTCCTCTTCATCTGCAAATATATAAAAACTCTGTGGCTTTAGTCCGCAAGCGAACTATACCGACCGAGCGACCGCCGCTTGTCGGCGAAGTTAGGGCCAACTTTAGTGGATAGAGGGTGTTGCGTGGTCAGCACAACGGATCCCGTTAATCTCGGTTTTCTAGACCGGAGCCGCTATTTCTCCATTCAAGTAGCTCCTCAATTATCCTCTTGAGGTTGAGTGGACCCCGTTCCACACCCACTACTTCTCAGAAATTGTGGTAGCGCCGGGAATCGAACCCGGGACATCTGGATCTGTAGCCAGGAACTCTGACCACTAGACAACAGAGGCGGTCTTCTGCAAATTTCATGAGAAGTAAACGAGATACATAAACTAACTCTCAGGGATGCAGGGGGAAACAGACATTAAACACTTGGCAATATTTCAAATATATTTTCTGTAAAATTAGTGCAACCACATCCTACCAACCAGCTACCTACCTACTTACCTTGAGCAGAGTCCTTGAGACACTAACATCTGAAGGGTACTGTGTTCTGGAATGCGATACTATGTAGTATGGACTGCAAGGGGACACATCTCAGAACACGTACTTTATAGATACAGCTGTGAGAACCTCAAAAACAAAACAAACCAATGGCTTTTATGGAAGCTAAAAGTTCATTACCATGTTCATAAAAGCCTGCCATTGATCCCAGTCCAGAGGCAGTGAATCCAATTCACATCCTCCCATCCTATTTCTTTAAGATACATTTTATTATCCTCTCATCTATGCCTAGATCTTCCCAGTAGTCTCTTTTGTTCAGGTCTTCCTGCCAAAACTTTGTATGCATTTCCCTTTCATGTGTGCTGCTACATTCCTCACCAATTTCATCATCCTTTACTTGATCATTATAATAATATATAGTATTATACGAACAGAGATTATGAAGCGCCTCATTATGTAAATTTATCCACCCTCCTGACACAACCTCTCCCTTAGGTCAAAATATTCTCCTCAGCACCCTGTTATCAAACACCTTGAGCCTTCTTCCTTTAATGTGAGATTCCAAGTTTTTCTGCCCAAACAAATTAACAGGCAAAACTATAGGTTTGTGTATTTTAGTTCTTAAACTTCCAGGGAGCAGACAGGAAATAAAAATGATTCTGAACTGAATGACAAGCAAGCATTCCCCAGGTCTAGTCGGTTCTTAATTTCTTCAGGAGCACATTTTTCATTCGTTGGTGTCAGTCAGATGGAAAAAGATGGAAGAGTACAAATTATTTACCTTCTTCCTCTTCAGGGCCTTCCTGTATTGCTTCTGCTGCCACTGATGCCTGAACCAGTTCTGGATCTGCAACAACAGAATTACTTGATAAACTCCAACAAAACTCAAATCTTACATAATATCAAGGAACCTTAACAGTTCTCTCCTTCAAACAGACTTTATTTAACAAGGCACTAATTGCTACAAACAAAATACTGCACAACAAATTATATAAGTATATGTGATGGAGGGGCACGCAGTAGCGTAGTTGGTTGAGGGACTACAAGCCGGAAGACAAGACTAGTAAAGACAACACCACGCGTTGTGGAGGAAACACGCAAACCAGGGGCATATGGCAGCCATAACTGAAAAGTAGGCTACGAAGGTGAGGGGCAAGCTGCCAAACAAAACACCCTGGACTGACATACATTTATGAACAATGGACGACACCCCGTGTGAGGTGAAATAAATAAAATGCACCAAAATAACGTGGGTATAATAGAAACTTTAAAGGATTTTATCTGGTTTTACCTTGAAAAGAGAACTACAGCGTGTGATTTTAACACGCACTAAGACAGTGTAGCAGTTTTAACATAATTTAATAAAATATTTGTAACATATCAAGACTCCTGAAGATGGCCGTTTTGGGCCGAAACATGTAGTGTCGAAGTGTATAATGTTAAACTAAAATTAAGTAGTGAATAAACAAGTCTTGCAATATTGATGGACGACAAATACATGGACGTTAAGTCAAAGTATAAGGCAAGAAACCAGCGTAAAAGCAGGTGGAAAGCAGAACCATTCTTGGCTTATTCTTCGACCATGAAGATCGTGGCGACATGTTAGTCTGAAACGTCGGTTGACATCCTAAGGAATACACGGCGTTATATCCAAAAGACAGAACGATTCATAATCAACGCCGTGAGAACCTCAAATCCCAAAACTTTGCACTTGTGTTCATTTAACGATGCTGGATCATCAATATTGGCATAATCACATTAAGAACTGAAATATGGTAATGTTATTTTTTCTGAGTGGATATATCATCAGTGGTTTAGATCAGAGTTTCCCAAAGTCATGGTCGAGGAAGAAAGTTCATGTGGTAAGCGTCGATCTCTCATTTACACACAACTAAACATGTCATTTTCATGGCAAGATCTTTATATCACTTTCATTTTAGAAAGTCATGGGGGTGTAAATGCTGGCTACAATTCATTCTTTTCCCCCATTCAAAATTCTCCATATACTACCACAGTCAATAAGTTCGTGGAATGGCCGCAAAGCGTCGTATGGGAATTTCCTGCCAATATGTTTCAGCAATGTTTTCGGCAGTTATATCAACGTTGGCAGACTTGCATGGCGTCCAACGGCAACTATTTTGAGGGCCGATGTGGATCTGCGTAAATGTATGTGAATACATTGTAATTCATTCTCTTCCAAAACAGTTCCTCCACTTAATGCAATCTAAAGCTTTCTCCTTCAAATAAAAATATCCTCTTCTGTCCCCAAGGTCATCCAGCATCTTCTTACGTCTTCTGGGCACTTCTATCCGCCCCTCTATCTTTCCTTCAATAACTTCTTTTAGAAGGCAGTTACTACGTAAAATATGACCAATTCAATTAGCCTTCCGTTTTCTCCAAAGGAAACATCTCGCATACATGGTATCTCTGTTTTTTGAAAGAAACTATCCAGGAAAAGTGATAATGTGGTGGTTTTTCCATTTGCTTTCCACATTGCAGTACAACAGCCGTACCTTGTAATATGATGCGATAAAAACCACATAATGACTCTACCACGTATTATTATTTATTATTCGGGTGGTCCGCCAAAGAAAATATATGGAGTAAGTGGTCAACGATATAAAAACGTCTGGGAACCCCCGGTTTAGACAATAATCTCTTTCTTCCTGACACTCCAGTATGACGTCATCGCATATCTGGTGTACAGACGTTGAGAAATGTCTCCGAGCTTCTTTGAGCGTTACAAATACAAATATGGTTGATCAGCCACAGGGGTACGGGGAAGATCGCCAAGCGATAACACATACGGAGAGAACCCACCCTCCCCTGAACTACCCTCTTGCCGTCACCATTCTGCGTCATCTCTTCCCCTACTTCTATGACGTTGCTCAGACTGAGATATTTTGCGGAAAGTGTACCAAAAAAAAAAAACGACCGCCTTTGTGTTCTAGTGGTCAGAGTTCCTGGCTACAGATCCAGAGGTCCGGGTTCGATTCCCGGTGCTACCAAATTTTCTGAGTAGTGGGTCTGGAACGGGGTGAGGATAATTCAGGAGCTATTTCAAGGAAATAGCGGCTCCGGTCTAGAAAACCGAAATTAACGGCCGTGGGGATTCGTTGCGCTGACCACGCGACCTCTATCCGCTGAAGTCGGTACTAACCTCGCCGACAAGCGGCGGTCGCTCGGTCGGTATAGTTCGCTTGCGGACTAAACCCACGGAGTCTGTACCTCAAAAAGCATAAGATACAAGAGGACACTTCATCCACAGCACGGCGCTATGAATCGCCCTATACCCGGAGGAGTAACTGGAATTATGATATATTTCCAGATGCAGTTTATCGTTCTCATGCTGTTCCAGTTTTTTTAATGGCCGGAACGAGGGATATACATAACGGACGGATGTGTGGTCATACACCAGGCTGCACATGAAACGTACAGACATTAATGTAGCCCAATATCTTCTACTCCCTATTTTCACGCCTCATAAATACTTACTTAAAACAATTCTCTTCCCTCGCAGCAAAAACTCAGCGCCGCTGTAGTCTTTTATTGCTTCCAGAATTAATAGTTCACATAACCTCAACCGAGCGGTTCTCTCGTGGTTAGGGCATTTGTGTCTGGGGTGCAGAGGGTTGCGGCTCGAATCCCAACTGCGAGTCTTCATTGGTTGCAAGGTAGGAGGGACATTCTGAACTCCATAGCACAGGTCCCACGCAGATTTATTATTATTATTATTATTATTATTAATTAAATATTTATGTTTCTTTTCACTTCTAAATAACACTTAGTTTTATGAAAATGAAATTATTATTATTGTTATTATTATCATTTATTTGCT